GTCGCGTAATTTCGGATATACAAAAAATATTCAGGATATATTTACACGTATTTTTTTAACAAAATATAAAAAAATTATTTAAAAATTACAATTTTTTTTATGTGTTTGAAAGTAATACAAATAGCTTAGCGGCAATTTAGAACCCGAATAAAAAACTATTTCAATAAGAAAATACATATTTAAAGATAAAAACAGAAAATAAATAAAGATAGAATTAGAAAATTTTCATTTAAACTATAAAATTGTATCATTAAAAATATATAAATATTGACCTCTTATTGAATCGTTTTATACACTCTACAAAATATCGGTACAAATTTAACACCATACGGTGTCTCTATAATTCTCATTATTAGTTTGTAGTTAATGTTAATATTAACCTCATTGCGATGTAAATTTAATACCATGGATTTTAAATCTACACCACATAATAGTGTTGATATAAAGGGTTATAAATTCACACTATGTTGGTGCTAATAATATTAACATCAACAATAAGAATCACATAAACATTACATGTGTTAAATCCATGTCAATATATTTAAAAAAAAATACATATATATATTTTATACGGAAAATGTTTCCAATTCTAGTCCCTTTCTGCAGAGAGACTGTACGCCTGATACATCCTTAAAGCAAACATAAAAATATATATCTCCCACAAACACACATACACATACACACACACAAGCGCATACAGCCATGAATTACTCAGACGTCTGTTGGAAGACAGCGAGGTGTAATGCTACGGAAACGTAGTTCATTCACAGCTTCTTACTTATCGCGCTCGCAGACACACGTTCTCGTCAAAAGCACGGCCACGCGCGTGCCCACCCGCTTGTTTACGCGTTCGCGATACGCGCGCGCGTCTCCGCAGCTATACCATCGGCGACGACGACGACGACGTCGACATCGTCGCGACGCTGAGGGAGAGAGGGAGGGAGGGAGGAAGAGAGGGAGGGAGAGAAAGAGAGCGATGTCCGAGGAACGCGCGCCCAAAACGGAGTAACGTTTCGAAGTACCGTCTATCCAAACGAAATTCACACAGCGTCGTCGAGCAACAACGAGCTCATTGACATTTCGCTCGCGCGCTTGAACGTCGTCGTTGTCGTCATCTTCATCGTCAGAGTTCGCCTCTGTGCACCAGAGAGCGCGGAGAGATTTTTGCGCGTCGTCGTCGCCGCTGCTCGGACGCCGCCGGAGCGAAGAACAAAGAGGATAGTAGCCAGGGCGCGGGGGAGGGGGAGGCGTGCATTTAACAACGAGAACGCACCGCTGGCGACGTAGCCACCGCTGGCGACCGCGAGAGCGAGAAAGAGGGAGAGGGAGAGGGAGAGAGAGAGAGAGAGAGAGGTGGAGTGAGAAAAAGAGAGAAGTGAAGAAAGACAGAAAGAAAGAAAGAAAGGAAGGAAGGAAGGACGGAAGGAAAGAGGAAAGACAGGACAAAGAACGGAGCTCTGGATGGCTGATTGTCTGGTTGACTACAGCTAAGCCCAGTTAGCTAAGCTCGCTTATCGCACGATTGCCTTGGTTGATCGATGAGAATATATACGTCGCACATATGAAAAAAGTTCGTAGAATGACAGCGTGTTGCCAGCCAGCCAAGTCAGCCATCCAGCCACAATAACGAGAGAATGCCCTGGCGCATGACGCCTTCACACTGTCGTCGTCCTTGTCGTAGGTCATAATCGTCGTCTTGGTCACGATGGGAACGCGAAACGGCGGCGACGAGGATGCCCGTGGTGGCCGCCGCGCTTCGCGGAGGCCAGGGGAGCGAATCAGCTGTTCGCCTCGGCAATGACAACATTGAACACGCACGACCCCCCCGGACTGTGTGTGGCAGCACTTCGACGCGCGTTTCCGCGGACGCGTTTCACGGGCCCGCGTTGGGCCGATGTCGCATCCGCACGGTTGACTTACCTCGAGCCTGGTGCGCCCGGAGTGTATCATCCTTTTGCGTCGCGTTATTTTGCAAAACTTCCGGGAGTATACCCGCACGGTGCAGTCGCGAAAAAAAAAACCGTCGCGCGGCTGAGCGAGTCGCTACGTTCCGTGAGAGAAATGGCCGAGTCTACTGAATGCTCGACGTGCAATCGCACAAGGGGACGGAGGGGTACTGCCACTGGACGGTGCGCCGCCGCTTTCCGTCGGCGCCGTCGCTCGCCGCGCACCTCATTGGCCGCCGGCGGCCGACTTGACGACAGCGCGGCCAACCAGCGCGCTCGCAGCCATTGTTTACACGCTTCCCATTGGATCGTTATTTTTGAGGGAGTAGGACGACGACGACGGACGCGACAGCGACGACGGCGACGTGCACTTTGTGTGCAACGACGTGAGAAAGGCGCAATTCACATTCCGAAAACAAGGGAGATAGTAGAGTGCGCGCGCGCACATCAGCGCGTGCACGGCAAAGGCGAACTTGGTGTAGGTAGTTACAGGCAACGCCGTTACCGACGTTAGGATTTCAGACGGTTACCAAGCGGCAACTCGTCCCAAATATAAGCGCGCGCATGAAGAGTTAAGATCGGCGCGTGTTGCTAGGTTCGCTTTGATTCGTACTTCGGGTAGAGAGAACGCGGTCGGGAAATAGCCCCGTTGACCTGGATTCAATTATGACTCGACCGAAATATTTAATTTACGGATGAGGGGTCGGAAAACGGGGGTGAGGGGCCGAAGTGACACGCGAAGTCTCAATGATCCTAGCGGGCGTTGTGATAATGCAGCTGTACCACACACACAGCACGTGACAATTTGACAGCTGATATAGTCGACTTTTTTTAGTCAACTTAAAGTCGATTTGTAAAGTCGACGTTCAGTCGACTATTTTATGATGGCTTTTTATCGATTTTGAATGCCGATTATTTTCGAAAATCTAAAAACTGCTTCTTTAAGTCCGACTTTTAGTCGATTTATATTGTCAACTTTCTATTTATCAAACAAATAAATCAAATAAAGAACACTTTCTTCGCGTAATAAACGTGAACAAAGCGAAATATGAAAATTAAACAGAATTGTGAGTATTTCAAATATATTTCAAGATTACGTTTACGTGGAATTATTTATGTATTGTTTGCGTTAAATTTATATGAATCTTTGTCATGTAGACAATACAAACAATGTAAAGTATTTGAACCCCCATAGCAAAAAACGTCACAGTTATATCAAAACAATCGTGGTAATTACGTGGTGACGTGTGAATGTTCGCTTGATCACAAATGTGATGTCACAGCAAATCATAGTGATGTGCGAATGTCTTCGTAATATGTGTTATTTTGTTGTGACAATCTCACAGTGACATTATATTTTCTTTCTGTTGTGACTCTATTTTGACGTGAATGTGATCCTTTGTTATGGGAGAATTATTATAAACTAAATAATATAAGAATTAGGACGTATAGATTTTATAATTATTAATATCTGATTTTAATATTGATAAATAAAGATAATATTGATAAATAAACGAGATAAAAACTTTATGTAATCCAGTGCAACGACAAAAATATATAACATTCAATGAATTCATAGATTGTTTACTTAGATGGCACGTAAAAAAAATTATGTAAACGTAGTTTACATAATTTACATTGTGTATACGTATAGATGTTATTACATTTTACGTGTAAAATCATAACCCTGAAATTAAGCAATCAAATGATAGAAAAGATATAAAACTTGCAATGTTTTGCATTGTAACGAATGCACTATGACCCAATAGAGAGATTACGTAATGTAGACGATGATGATTAATTGGATAAGGATTAATCATCACCGATTAATTGAATTTAATACGTAATAAAATGCATTTTTTATTACGTATTGTAAACGCTTGAGGAATGTCTAAAAATACGTTGTTTTCAGATTAGCAAAATATAACCCAGACAGCACAGAATATTTATGATAAGTGTTTATTAACATTCATTTTGTGAAATGTTATATAGATATTTCATACACACACACATATTTTATATAAAGCTTTATTCGAAATATTATTAAAATATAGACTCTCTCTAAATATTTTATATTATTTTACAAAATATTTAAAATAAATCTTATAAATATTTATAAACATTTTGTAAATATTTTACAAATATTGTGTACTGTCATTGATGCTCCATACAATTAATAAAAATAATTATATAAATAAAATATATATTATCATATTTATTTAATTATATAAAATCTAAAATATAAAATAAAAAAATTTAATTACGCATTACAATAATCATATCGAATCTGAAGAGAAAAGTATCATGTCTGTAAATAATTTTCAAGTTTTGCTATAATCTTAAATTAAAAATTAAATAAAAAAGAATATATTTTTATTTATCGTCAATTATATCTACATTATCGTACGATTATATTAAATTGCGCCGAGTTCTAGACAATATTATCGATAAAACCATGGTATCGATCTATCTTTCGGTTGTATAATTCAATAGCAGATCAGTATATCATTATCGAAACATCAAGGGCGATAAAAAAGAAATTAGATCAAGAGTGATAAAAAAAAATACGATATTTACGAAATACGAAATACGGCGATTTTTATAGTTATTTTGAATTATCGATTTAATATAACATAAAATGTATGATGTTTTTACTATATATTCATTAAACGCAGATAATTAAGTTATACTTATCGGTACTTATCGTTATGACGTAAACGATGAAAATTTATTGCAAATAGAGTCAATAAAAATAACGGGTGTATTTGTAAAGAAAAAAGATTGCATGTGCATGCAAATTAACAGATTGGATACGCAATCTTTATTTATATTTTTTGCAAGGTTGATTGTGATTCATGCGTGACTACATTTAACGCGTAAACTACGATCTTGTATTCCGAGGAAGATTTATAGTTCCACTTCGTATCCTATCGCCTCGTAATAATCTTTAATATGTAATAAAAATTTATGATATAATCTATAGTGATAATTTAGAGCGCGTCTTGCTCTTTTAATTGGTGAACTTTGTGCCATTATAAAAATTTAAACCGTGCACGTTAGCCTTGTCGTTATCGGTAACGTGACATCGTTCGATATTTGTTTCAATTGTCATATTGATAAAGCGAGCGAAATCGGAAAATATCAAATTTAATTAGACAACTTTTAAACGTAGATATATGTATAATATTTCGCATTCGCTTTATTCTTACAAAGTAGAAGGCGTATGACATATTACTTTCACCATTTATTGTTTTTACGAGTTTATTTTTATTTATTTATTTTTTTATACTTCACACTCTGTGTGCGTGCGTGCGTGCGTATGCGCGTGCGTGTGAGTGTGTGATTTATTGCTCACTTTCAATTTTTATATTATTTTATTACTGATGTACGTTTTTTTTTAATTTCCGATCGAATTCGTGACATTTTAAACATTTTTATTGCTGTCTATTGACTTATTAATTATTGACCTCTTTCCACACTTATTTATTTTTATATCGTTTTTTACGATGTATTGTAAGCTGTTATTTATTCGCTTCAATTTTAGTTTTCTGTTCTCTATTTCATTTGGTAAGTGAAAACTGCTTTCTAATTAGTATTACATATTTTATAAAATTATAAAATTTTTACGTCATTACTTTTTTAAGTCGCGTTATTATAGCCCATACATTCTAAAAAACTAATAAAAAATAGGTGTGGATTTAACATCATATCGATGTAAATATATTATAGTTCTCATTATTAATAATATCAACACTAACATAGCGTAGATTAAAAACTCTTAACGTTAAATTCATATTGATTTATATCAATAATGATATATATCACAATGAAAATTACATTAACACCGCATGGTATTAAATCCATTCATATTTTTTACAATGTAGAGTATTACTCAATTTATGAACCATCTGTGATCAATACTCATATTTGAAGATTCAGGCTCGATTTCGTGCAGTTGAGAGCGTGAGGATATTTTTTAATATTTGTAAAATTACTAAAGGTGGCTCGAAATTAAAATGAAATGTTCTAATGTATGTCTCTATCCAGTAAACAAGAAACGTTACGAAATATTTTAGTAACGTTGCTACAACGTTTCTTGCTTAGTGGGTAACAAACTTTGTCGATTATTTTACATCAATTGATTTTTTCACCGAAATCTGTGTCTGACTCTCCCGTCAGCCCTACTATTTAATTATTATTTTTGTTAATTTCAGAGTTCTATTAATCTTATATATTTTTTTTAATTAATCCAACATTCAAGAGCATACAGACGTCGGGATCAAATTAAAAAAAAGTACGCGTACATATTTTTGCATGGTTCAAAGCAGATATAAGGCACATATATGGTATATACAGTGTTGCGCTTAGATAATTAAAAATTATCTAGATATAGGTAAGATAAATTACACAAAAATATATCTTAGATAAGATAAAGATGATTCACTTTACATTAATCTAGATAAAAGATGAAATTAAAGAAATTTTTATTTAGATAATTTTTAAGATAATTTTGTTTTTAACTAACTATTAGGCAGTAAAACGATTTATGTCCAATTTCTGCACCTCTAGATAATTTTATCCAAAAGATATCTCTCAGAATACAATGGAGATATCTCCTGAATAAGGTTATCCGCAACTTATCTGAAGTGAATTGGGCATTAGGGCATTTTTTTACACACAAAAAATGTATTTATATTTTCATTAATCTTTATTTTTTTCGAATAAAAGTTTTTTGAATATTTCGTCTAACAAACGGTTTCTACGTGGAATTAATATTTGTTGTCCACAAATAAAAAGGCGCTCTACTGACGCTGATAATGGCAATGACGTGTCATATTTAAAAAAAATTTGTTTGACATGTGGATACAATTAAGAATATCTAATTCCTCAGATTTATCTTCTAAATATAAAAGTACTTTAATGTCGCTTTGAATTTTGACTGATGTCATACTAATTCCAGTTTTATCTATATCATAAAAAAATTCTCATTATTACTACTAGAAGTTATATAGAAATTTTTTTACAATACCCTTCTACAATCTTAGTTAATTTGAAAAAGATTTTATCTAAGATAAGAGATTATAAAGATAATCTATATTCTTAATAATCTAGATAAAGATAAGATAAAGTCAGATAGATAACGGAAAACACTGGATATATATATACATAAAATATTGATAAGCTTAATACGGATATTTAATAATCGAAATAATCTGCGTTCTCTGAGAATGATTCGAGCCGAAATACGTAAACGTTTTTATATAACATAATATAATTATTTTTATTCACATTAATAAGATTGAAAGACCGCTAATGTTAAACATAAGCTTTAAATTAAGAAGCGCTATAACGGTCGGAACGTTAAGATGTTGAATATTGTAAATTCATTTAAAATGAATTAATTTCAGAAATGATAATTGCGTGCCGATATGGTTGTCGAACTTTCAACGCAATCAAATCTGAAAATATTAATAATCCCCCCAAATTTCCCAACTTAAAAACTGTAATAAACACAGTTTTATTCACATATTATTTATTAATTTTACATACAATGTACCGCGCTTTTATTTGCTCTTCTTCTTTCAATTATTGTAAAAGTTTATTTCATTATTTTGTGCTATAAATTGGAAAATAAAATATTTTATCAAGTACACAAAGAGATGATTGCTGTCCTGGATAAAATTACAATTTTATTGCAGATTATTACATTTAAGTGTGTCACATGTGTTTTATTGATTGTTTTCTCCTTCTCTCGTTTCCGTTGCAAAAAGATCCGTATGATTATTTATAAAATATATTCTGACGAAAATTATCTTTGAAGATTAAACGGTTTCTGCTGCAATCTCATAATTACAAATATATGTATTCATATAATAGATCGATCATTTCTCAAAGAATTCATTTAAACCGTTCACTTTATGATATCATTTTTATTTTTATCGATGTGAAGATTTTATACGTCAACAAGAAATATGACTGTCATCCTGAATATTATCTGAAAACTTTTAAAATTCCAAAGATAATACCAATTTACAAAAATATATGTATTGCACATATGGTATTCTATTGCACAGTCTAAAAAAATTCCTTGAAATACATATATTTACACAATTTGGCTTTTGATTAATTGAATTGATTTCGAAATTGACGCTGAATAATTTTATCATTTAATTATCAGTGTTATTCACTGATAGTTAATCAAATCAATGTAAATTCTAATAAAAAAATTTTTCGATTTCATTTGCGCAGTTAGATTATTTTTGGGATACGACACTTCCTGCAAGATTATTATCAAACGAAGATGATTGATATAAAAATCGATACGACTGTTGCAACCGTTAGTTATTATATTTTTAACTGTCGAATGCGTGATACATTTTGATATATCAAATTGTGGCGAATGCATCGCCACTGCCTCAGCTGCAATAGAATTGAGGAACGATAATTATAATAAAGATATTCGAAGAAATGTATTCGGAATCCGCGAGAGTAGCATGTACATATTTAGTCCGAAGGCCGCTCAGCTGTTCGAGGCAGAGAAAAAAAAGGTAAACACGCGAACAAGCGAAATCATTGTACAACGATCACCGAAATATTAAAATGACATAATTTTAAATGTAGCCACTATGGTGCATCACAATGTATTTTTGACTAAACCGGATCCTCGATACAGCTATGGAGGCCAAGCCGCGAGTATAATTATTCGTTTTTTGACGCAAATGTCATACGCGGTAAAAGAAAATAAAAGAAAAGGGAAAATCGCGTCGATTTCAAAGCTAGCAAACGAGATCGTTTCTAATAATTTAGAAGTAAACATATTTTCCGAAGACAGGTCACGCGATTGCTTGCGAGACAACGACGAGACAGATCATTATTATTTCTCGACACGTGCGAACGCGGAGCGTGTATCAATTATATTATAATAAAGACTTAAACTATTTTATTGTCAGTGAGATATATTCAATTTGACTACATTTAATCCGATCCTGTAACATAAAAAAAATAAATAACTATAATGAGAGGTAAATTTCTGAAGACTTTATACGATCTTTAACACGATATGCAACAACAGGATAAATAACGTGATAAGTAATGTTGATAAGTAATTTAGTTTCTTAATACTAGTATACGCAAGTTTGATATCAAATTATTTGTTAGATATTGAAGTGCGCGATTAAGTTTGTTTTCTATCTTCTTTTTTCATGAACACTCGAAAATCCGTTTAGGACAAGATTTAATCATTAAGGCCCATTTCTACAAATGTAGAGTAATTTTAATCTCAGTTTAATTTACTCTTTATCTTTTTCTAATTCTCAGAACTGGAAAAAGATGATTAGTCAAACCGAAATAAAAGTTAAACTATATTGGTAGTAACGGGCCTAAGTCTAAGTTAAATTTCCGGTAAAAGATAGTTTATCTTTTATCGCCACTGTTTTTTTAACACGTATTCGCGAGAACGAATCTTACACCATCGCGGTAATGTTCTCGATTATAAAAGTCGATAAAAGTTATTCCTTGTTACGCAGCGGGATTAAAATCACTTTGGTAATCAATGTCTCATCAAGAAATATGCAAGTGAGAGTGTTAAAAAATCTAATTCGATAATTGAAAATATATTTTATAATTTACAGGTTATTGTGTGGTGATTGTTGCCGCCTTAGCAGTTATTGTTACCGGAGTATTTGTGAAGGCACCTGAGTGTCCATCCTCAGGCACAGTCATGCTGCCTCATCCGAAGGAATATAGCCTATATTACATTTGTCAGGACGGCAAGAGCACAATTTACAAGTGTCCCGATGGTCTGCATTTCAATAACATTATTAAGCAGTGCGATTGGCAGCTGCGTCTGCTCGCAGGACGTTTCCCCCGAATGAACCCAGAGACTGAACCAGATATATCCGAGGAAAAGGCTGATAAGTCTAATTGCATCGGTACATGTCCAATTTTGTATCCTAAGGATAAAACGATACGTCTGCCGTACAGAGGTAACTGTAACAAATATTGCTTATGCAGCAACGGCACGCCTATCGTTTTGTCCTGCCCACCCGGCTTACATTTCGAAGCAGAGCTAGTTTGCATCTGGCCATGGCTAGCCAATTGCGCAGATAAGCAAGATATAATAATTGGTAGATAAGCAAGGGCAAAATCTGGTAAACGATAATTGAAGTAAAAAGAAGAAAAAATGCAGTTTTGCGATTTTCGACTTTTATCGCGTATCTGTACATTGAACTGAAGAGATGAAAGAAACAATGGTGATTTGGACTAACACCTCTTCTTTAATTTCTTACTGTGGATAATAAAAAATTTAGCAGAATAAATTGAAGTTCACATAATACATTTGTGTTTGTAGGTTAAAGGAGAAAATTATTTGTACAAATTACCAAATTGATAAACGTTATCAATAGATAACAGAGTACTTAATATGACCTGATTATTGTTATTATTATTATTATATCTTATATCTGATTATTCGAAAATAAAATGAAATTAATGATTTTATTGTCAGAACTTTTAATCAACTATCTCTTTTCTCTAGAAGTACAATATGTCTCCATAACTCACGATTTTTTATAAATGCTAAGAGTTGTCATTTATCGCAATTTTTTAATTTTCATAACTCTGCAACTAAATCTGAAGCTAAAATCTCATTAAAATAAAGCTATCTTAAGAAAATTTAATAAAACTGAAATCGCGAGTTGTACGCTAATTTATCATATTACTTAATTATCGAAAAATTACACAGTTTAATCGGGAAATATAGAAAGTTTCGATACACAATGTATTTCGAAAGATTTTTTTTTGAGATATTTCTAAAAATTGTATCTGATTGCTATAAAGACATTGTTATTTCAGATAGAATGTATTTCGAATAATTAATAAATTTACAAAAATCAAAAAAATTGAATTTTTAAATAAAATTCAGAAACTTTTAATTTTTATGTATTTTTTTTCGTTTTAGTATAGTTTCAATACTTCCTTAAAAAATTAACATTTTTATTGTTATATTTTTTATTGCTATAATATTTTGAGATTATTATACTCATTTTCATCATGTGATAGGCGAATACTTTTTAATAGAATAAAATTTCTGTTCTCTATACGAATATTCGCAATTTTATTCCGCGTTTATTTAATTGACACCCTGTAATTGATATGTATAAATTTATTTTTGCACCTGCTTCGATATGCTTAAGTGACTTTTATAAGAGAAGGGTTCTGTTAAATGTTAGATATGATAAGCACATACTATGCGATAACGCGCTGTACGCTTATATAAAACTCATTTCACAAAGACGAATTTGTCAGTTAATAATTTAATAAATGAAGAAATAGATACTCGTCTCTTCATTTAGCGAATGGATTTTCCACGATGAAAGGTGAGTGTTTGCAACTGACGGAATTCCGATGAAGTGATAAAATAGAAGCAAATAGAAGGATTATTTAATAAATTGGATAACTGTTGAGTGGCAAATGTGCAAGACAATTATTTGGGCACGCAAAAAAAGGAGAAAAATTTATGCAGTGCGAGTAGTTGTGTTTGGTTGTGCGTAAATATCAGCATGAAGAAATGTAAAATAATATAGTAGATACATGTGTGTTGCAAGCTTAAAATATTTTTATCATAGTTATTTTGTAGATTTTCTATTTTTTAATTGAATTTTATACAAAATACTTATAAATTTAATGAATAAAATATTATTTTTCAAATTTAGTTACTGAGTTTATTTAGTTAATTTCAATTAACATTATATGAAGAGCAGAATTCGAAAATGCATTTTGTCCAAAATTTCATTTTTTTTAGTTAGAGATGACATAGTGTTCAGTGTTGAAAGACTCATTTATTATAAGCTACTCATTATTATAAGCTATTCTGAGATGTTCAAAACGCATTTTTTCATTGTTAATTTATATGCTGAGAAAACATAGACATTTCGAAGTGCATTATGTTTTTTAACTAGAGGCAAACAAAATGCATTTTTAGCAATTTTGTTTAATATTTCATCACATCCTACTGATTGACATATTGTGATTTTCTGTAAAGTGCGTAATTTTCTTGTGTGCGGAGTTTCTTTCTTTCTTGTTTTCTGAAAATTACAAATTTTAGGATAAAACGCATTTTGAAAGTCTGCTCCTCATATATGTGTTATATATTAATTTCAAATAATATTATATATAATAATAATATATATATATTGAATTTTAAGCAGATACTAATGACCATTTTGTACGTAGCATATACAAGTTTAAAATATTTTTATCATTATATTAGAGGAAAGTCGCCGATACTGACACAGGTCTCTTAAAGTGACACCTCCTTATTTCTCAGAAACTAACTATTGCACTTTATTAATTATTGATAATATTACGTCATTTTAAATGCTTGTAGTTTCCTAATCAGTTTTATTTATATTATTTTTTCTCTTATATATAGTCTTTTCATAATACGATTTTAAATTTAAAATTGAGGCAGCGTAAACCGCCACACTTGTCTGTAAAACAGATCATGAGCTAACTTAATCTTTATAATGTCGCTTTATAATGTTAAATAAATCTATTGGAGACAATCATGCATATATGAAAAAACTCTTGAAAAACTATCGCATTACATATTTGTATCTTGCAGAACAGCATAAATTAAATACGCATATAATTCAATAAAAATGTTTTATAACGAAGTGGAAAGATTCTGGAAAATCTTATATATATTCACTTATAGGTACTTTATACAGATAATGCTTGTAAAATAAAAAGAATATGAATACGTAGCATTACTGCCTACTGTGTCAGTTTTGGAGCCCAATTTATCAGAAGCTCATTTTTACTTATGAAAAAATTAATTATTGCAAAATTGCAAACAGCATCATAAAAACTGCATATACTATCTGATAGAAGACACTTTTCAGTTTGTACTTACGTTTTTAAAGTTTTGTTTTTATTTTTTGTTTAAGAAATATTGTCTAAAAACAAAGGAGTATGTATCGGTATCGGCGACTTTCCTCTATCTTTCGTAGATCTTTCCGTTTTTTTAAATTAAATTACACGCAAAATCTTTATAAATTTGACGAATAAAATATTACTTTTCAAATTTAATTACTAAAGTTAATTTCATAAATAACTGACATATCGTTACACATATCATTTTGAACTTTACGCACATACTTAATGACCATTTTATTCGTAGATATATACAAGTTAAAAATACTTTTATCATTATATGATTACTTCATAGATATTCCATTCTTTCATTAAATTATGTGAAAAGTATTTATAAATTTGATTATTTGGATAAAATATTATTTTCCAAATTTAATGATTAAAGTTAATTTAAAAAATAACTAATACTATATGTGTATATATAAATATATCGGTTTGAATTTTAGACACATACTTAGTGGCCATTTTAGTGGTCACATTGGGTATTGCCCTCAATAGATCACTAGCTGATATTCCAACACAATGTCCCGAGACCAATCCACGGAATGAGACAGTATTTATACCCCATGAAAGTGACTGTACAAAATTCTACAGTTGTCACATGGGAATAAAAGGGGAGCCAATGGGCTGCCCTCTCATGGATGAGAATGGTAATAAATTGCACTTCAATCCCGAACTTCAAGTATGCGATTGGCCCTGGAGTGCAGGATGTCAGACATCTTCATCGACTTCGATAACTTCATCAAGTATTCCGACATCAATAATTACACCAAATACTACGACTTCTCCGACATCGACGACTCCGACACCGAGTTCTTCAACATCGATAACTTCGACACCTAGTTCTCCAATGCCCACGACCCCAATACCGAGTTCTCCGACGCCGACAACGCCGACGACCTCGACACCGAGCTCTCCAATACCGACGACTCCGACACTGAGTTCTTCAACATCGACAACTCCGACACCGAGTTCTCCAACGCCGACAACCTCAACACCGAGTTATCCGACGCCGACAACGCCGACAACTCCGACACCGAGTTCTTCAACACCGACAACTCCGACATCGAGTTCTCCAACGCCGACGACCTCAACATCGAGTTCTCTGACGCCGACAACGTCGACGACCTCGACACCGAGCTCTCCAACACCGACGACTCCGACATCGAGTTCTCCAACGCCGACGACCTCAACATCGAGTTCTCCAACGCCGACAACGTCGACGACCTCGACACCGAGCTTTCCAACACCGACGACTCCGACATCGAGTTCTCCAACGCCGACGACCTCAACATCGAGTTCTCCAACGCCGACAACCCCGGCACTGAATTATTCGACTCCATCGGATTCTTGCATATCTGATGACAGAGAACACATGCTTCCCCATGAAACTATGTGCGATCATTACTATTCGTGTTTTAATGGCCGGATAAGTCCCACCCTTCAGAAATGCGACCGCAACTTATTGTTTAATTCGCTACTTCGTGTATGTGATTATCCAGAAAACGTAAACTGTAAGAACTCTCCGCCGAACATGGATATATCGAATCCAGCACCGATTTCGCCGCCGTTTAATTCCTCATTACCAACAAAATCAAATCCAGTTGCTTGGATTTGCGAACCAAATGGCAAGCACTACAAAATTCCTCATGAAATTAAATGCGATTACTATTATTGGTGTGTCAATGGTATAAAAGGTACAGATTCGGTAAGATGCGAAAGCAACTTATTATTCAATCCAGTGGTCGGTGAATGTGATTATTGGGAAAACGTAGACTGTGATAGAAGAATTACTTCGTCACCTGATACTACAGTTCCTCGTCCAACTCCAACGACTCCAACGACTACGACTTCAACGACTACAACACCAACGACTACGACTCCAATGACTACGACACCTACGACTCCAACGACTACAACTCCAACAACTTTGACTACAACGACTCCAACTCCAACGACTACAACATCTCCGACTACAACGACTTCGTCACCTGATACTACAGTTCCTTGTCCAACCTCAACTCCAACAACTCCGACTCCAACGACTCCAACAACTCCAACGACTACAACATCTCCGACTACAACGACTTCGTCACCTGATACTACAGTTCCTTGTCCAACCTCAACTCCAACAACTCCGACTCCAACGACTCCAACAACTCCAACGACTACAACATCTCCGACTACAACGACTTCGTCACCTGATACTACAGTTCCTTGTCCAACCTCAACTCCAACGACTTCAACAGAAACGACTACAAAAGAAATAACGAATACCCCAATAGAAACCACAACAACAAAAAATTCCAATGAACCCCGTGAGCAATGTCCTTCAAGGGGATCAATGGAAAAAGCGCGGATTGCTCATCCATGTCTATGCAACCGATATTATGACTGTATAGATGGTGAAAAGATATTACAAACATGTCCGATCGGCAAGCATTTTGATTACGTGAAAGAGATTTGCGATTGGGTCTCAGTAGTAAAATGTATTCGACCGATTCCGACCTTTAATATTTTAATCTCCGACATTATAATTGATGACTATAATACTACATGCGCTCCAGAAGGCAGAGAATTTCAACACGACACCGATTGTTCTGCCTATTATTCATGCTCCAACGGTGAAAAAATTTTAAGACAATGTATGGAGGGACTCCATTTCAATATGACCATCCAAACATGCGACTATCCGCAAAAGAGTTGCGATCTGAACAAATCCTCGCCAAGAATCAATCTGGATATTTGCCCTCCTCCAAATTCCATACAGAAAGTATTTTTGCCTCACGAATGTGAATGCACACAATATTATGAATGCACTGATGGAAAGAAATTTCTTCGATTTTGTCCGAATCGTCTACATTTTGATCCCGTTTGGCAAATTTGTAACGATCCGATTGAGGCCAAATGTGTTGCTGATACAATTTCGACAACGTCTACTTCAATATTTACAACATCATCAACTACGAAAGCTATCGATGAACCCCGCACAATGTGTCCTCCTAAGGGATCAACTGAAACATTACGACTTCCTCATCCATGTCTATGCAATCAGTATTACGAGTGCGTGGAAGGCGACAAGGTATTACGAACATGCCCAATTGACATGTACTTTAATGACGCAACAGAGATTTGCGATTGGAGCACCAAAGTGAACTGCATCTCGCAATTTCCATCTCATGACATCCAAATTAACGACTACAATATTAACAATAAATGTTCTCCAAACGGTAGAGCATTTAATCATGAAGATAGTTGCACCGAGTATTATTTATGTTCTGAAGGTGAAAAAGTTTTACAACACTGCTTAGAAGGACTTCATTTCAATGTTAGTATACAAATGTGCGATTATCCGCAAAAGAAATGTGATCTAAATACATCTGGGCCTCAACCTATACCGACAGTCACCTTAGAGGTTTGTCCTCCCACAGGTTCCGTACAACAAGTACTGTTGCCTCACGAGTGCGATTGCACGCAATATTATGAGTGTATTGACGGAAAACAGATTCTTCGAGATTGTTCGGATGGTCTATATTATGATTACGTTCGTCAGATTTGCAATGTGCCGATTGAAGCTAAATGCAATGCTTTCACAACAACGATTCCTGAAAGCTCGTTTCCTACCGTCCCTGATTCAAGTAAATGTTACGACGAAAATAATGAAATACCTCATGAAAACGATTGCAGGTTTTACTACAAGTGCAACAACGGTGAGAAGATCTTGAAGACATGTCCTAGAAATTTATACTTTAATCCAAAGCTTCGAGTATGCGATTATCCGGAGAACGTCGCTTGCAACGTTGAAAGAAATATGCCCAATACATCAACATCAACCAAGTGCGAAACAATAACAGAAACCACCAATATTCCTCATGAGAACGAATGTAATTTGTATTATGTCTGCGAGAATGGCGTTAGCATACTTAAAAAATGCTCTCCAAACCTCGTTTTTAATCCTATTCTGAAAGTTTGCGATTTCCCAGAGAATTATATCTGCAATGTAACTCGCGACAAGAATATTAAAAAGATTGATGAATTAGTTCAAAATCTCGATCCATCTACTTGTATTGGTATTTGTCCAGAAGAAGACCCTCATTATGCAGTGTTACTTCCAAACGACGATTGCAAGAAATTCTGTATGTGTAGCGGTGGCGTAGCATGGGTTCAATTATGTCCTGAGCCTCTCTATTTTGATTCTGTTGACAAAATCTGTAAGAAAAAAAAAGATGCCGTTTGTGGGATACGCTCATACAATCAAGATAGCTCTTTCAAGATTGATAAAACGGTTGATAATGATAATTCGTTGCAATTTCTAACCGATGAAAACGACGACGACAAACGTGAAACATATTCGAGAGACAGATCTCTCGATCCATCTTCTTGTATCGGTACTTGTCCAGAAGAAGATCCTGATTTTGCAGTGCTACTCCCGAACGATGACTGCAAAAAGTTCTGTTTGTGTAGCGGTGGCGTGGCATGGGTTCAACCATGTCCTGACCCTCTCTATTTTGATTCTGTTCAAAAGGTCTGTAAGAAAAAGAAGGATGCCGTTTGTGGGGTACGTTCGTACAATCAAGATAGCGTCTTCATGATTGATAAAACGGTCGACAATGACAATTCGATGAAAACTCTGACCACTGAAAATAACAAACACGAAAAGTATGATAATCTCGATCCATCTACTTGTATCGGTACTTGTCCAGAAGAAGATCCTGATTTTGCAGTGCTACTCCCGAACGATGACTGCAAGAAGTTCTGTTTGTGTAGTGGTGGCGTGGCATGGGTTCAACCATGTCCTGACCCTCTCTATTTTGATTCTGTTCAGAAAATTTGCAAACGGAAGAAGGATGCCGTTTGTGGAGTTCGTCTATTTAATGAAGATCGTGTCTTTATGGTGAATGAGAAATGATAATAAAAAATGAATCCATGGCACCTTCAAGCAAGGAACATGATGACGGACACAGAACAAACATTTTAGTCGAAGTTTTACTTTAGTTTAATTTTTATTGTTTGCAAGTTTGAAAATTATTAAAATTACTTATAAATCATATTATATTCATTTTTTTGTAATTAATTTAGCGCTTAGTAATGTGATAATATTTAGAGTTGAATAAATTTTGAGAAAATTCCGATTTTCTTCATGAGAAGTAAGTGTTTATCTATAATTATTTATATATAGAATAATGAACCATTATCATCAAACAGTACCACTACATTGTATTGTAACTTGTTAATTGCTGAAATTATTGTTCAACATTAATTAACATTATTATAATAAATTAGAGTAATTGTAATTCCTCATTATTTCATGTATCAATTAAATATATTAATTAAATTCCATGTTTGTTTATAGAATAGATGTTTAAATTCAATTCATTTATATTATAAATGTACGTCTTAGGTATCGTTAACAAAAGAATTTTGCATAAGCTATATTTATATTTATGCAAGGTTAAATAGGATTACAAATGTGCTATGTCAATTTATATCATATAATTTGTATAATTCTATTTATCTCAAGCATTATCCCAGGCATTGATTTTTAATGTCAACCTTCATATACCTCGACGTGAAATTACATTCCTATTGTACACGCTATTTGTCATTTTCAAATATACTCTCATCTTTATCTACGCATTGATAAGATACTCGAAAATTAAACTAAAAAAAAAAGAAAAAAGCAAAACATAATACTGATAACTATTACAATTATGCGGGACAATAATAAACTTTGATTTATTTCAGAATCGAGAGGAAATTAATCTCGATATTAGGAGAGAGAGGAGGACGTTCTGGGAACTGTTTATTGTACATCGTTGTAATATTTGCCAATTATGTCCGAAAGAGAGCCAGATCGTGTAACATCGTACAACGTATACTCGTCGGCGTCCGAGTTCGGAAAGTTGCGAAGCAGGATTTGCTCTTTGTTCTGTCTGATGTTCTCTTGCCTTTGCTGTTCGTTTTGCCGCTGCGCATCCTGAATCATCTTCAGAGTCTCCCAAGTGGCATTCAGCTCCATCAATGGTGCAGCATCACTTCGTTTGCCATGCCTGCTCGTGTGATGGTCGATTTTTTAATTTCTATACTACGATTAATTCTGTTTTTATTATTACGTACGGGCAGACTATTTTTGTGTCTTCTTTTATTTCAAGACAATCTTTTATTCATAACATTAATTACTTATTGAAATTACTATAGTGTTTCAAAAAATTCATGTACCTATGCATTCTTTTATCATAATAGCATGTAATAATTATCTGTTATCTATTCCATGTAAACCTTGCTTTAATCTAAGATAAAGTTAAGTAACAATCGTAAAGTAATCATTATACTATTCGATAAAAGACACACCAGCACTGAATTAATCATTTTCTATAATTTTTTAATGTTGAATACAAATCCGGTTTCTAAATTGTTCCATTAAATTATATTATACTTACATTTATTAAAAAATCCTTTTAAGAAGGCTAAAAATTCTAATAACATACTTAATTTTGACAATAAAATTTCTTCAGCACATTACGTAGTTGTAATATGACATAATATATGAAAATAGCCTCTTTTTTAATTTTAACTGTAAATTTCTTAAAATTGTGACATGATGGAGCAATTTGAAAAACAGATTCATATTCAATATCCAAAAAAAACTGGAGAAAGTGACTCATATGTTCTGGTGTTGAAAAAATAAATCATTTTTTGTCAAACAGTGTTACCAAGCATATGTACATATCGTGTACTGATTTACTAATTACATTTGAAGCAACTTTATTATCCACTGATTTGTATCACGAGACTGCCATCAACGTTCATAAATGTAATTACCTCGATTTTCCATACATGTGATAAAAATTTTTAACCAAATCGGCGTATCTCTGTAGCTGGACGTTTGAGTTGATGATCTGCGGTGGTCTAGTTAATCTAGTCATGGGTTCCGGCTCGGCACAGGTGATCGTTATTCCGATAATGGTGACAAGCAAGCAACAGAAGAAACGAATAGGATTCATCCGTGTCCGCATTTCGAACAGTTTAAAGCAGTAATCTCGTTGCTGCAACGATACGTTGAGGCTTGTATGCAAAAGAATACTGAGATGACGTAGTTTCGATATTCGTGTGCGATCGTGAATTCACGATAGAAATTCACAATAAACGTTTTTCTCTTTCTCCACTACGGAGAAATTTCCCGTCTTACACGTTACGCACATCAAAGGAACATAGTCGAAAATCTTTTAACACGTAATAAAAGTTGTATAAGCTGGAAATGATTAAGCATTGCGGGTTTTCCTGCGAGTTCACTTCGATGCAACTGCTTTGTAAGAAAGAAGTTTCCTCGACGATTAACGTGCAAAATTAATTAATATCGTCAACTTCTCTGAATCAGTCGAAGAATTCTTGATAAATGTTAAGAAATGCTTTATTCCTTATAAATATCGTGTTATATACCATAAAATATCATATTTTTTATATTTTTTTATGCAGAATAGTTTATAAAAATATAGTATAAATTTTTTGGATTTTTTTCTTTTCGTGAATTCTTTCTACTTTTAGCTTGAACTGCTTTTCACAATTTTAATTATAAATTGTCAAAAGAAAATGGAATTACTTAAGCCATGAATAATAAAGACCACGGTACTAATTTTAATTTGCATATGGAATCAATTCAAATAGTGACAGGTGCAAGTCGTTGAAATAAATTCGTTAAGAGATAAACCTGCCACTGACGAAACGCAAAATGACAAGGGAAGTCGCGAGTCAATTTCGTTGAATATGTAAAATTCATTGTGCCGCATTCTAATGCATATGATTATATATACGAGGTATAGAGTACCACGACTGACGGCGATAACGAAGCTATCAAATCAATCACGGAATTTTATTTTCAGGCGTGTCCTTTTGTAATGATGACATTCGTCACATGCCTTGATTGAGTACCGGATCAATAAAATAGCTGCGTTTAGTGGATAAAATTGATAAGTGAGCGCTCAGTGATTCTTTAATACGATTAATTCTCGTCTTTAGTTCATCGCTGAATCTAAGTGTAGGAATCAATCACTAAACACTCACTGTTCAATTTTCTTTGTTGAAAAGAGCCAATGTGTTTCTATTTACAACGCCATTATTTGAAACAAAACAATTGTGTTTCATTAACAAGATTAATTGGCTGTCATGTTAGCCAGAGAATTCAACAGATACATAGAATAAGTATATGCGTGTGTGTATAAAAAAATGCAAACATAATAAATATGGAAATAATTATAAATTAAAATTAACAAAGTACATTGAAGTTTCACTGAAACTATTTTATTTAATGTTAGGTTTTATTTAATATTAGGTTTAAAAGAGAATAAAAGAAGCAAAATGTATATTAAATAAATTATATGTAATGTTACAATGTAATTATTAATGTCAATAATACGTTTACGATTTTTAGTGTTTTTCTTAATATCATCAGTTTTACGGTATGAATTAAAAAATGAATATATAACACTGATATAATATGTTAACTTCCTCGCTGACTGTTAATCTATAATCACTTATCGTTTAAGTATTATATTTACCTTCTTGTTATATCTTTATCTTTAATAAACTGAAGACATTAAGTATTATCAGCCAGATATTCATATCAAAGTTACAATATCTCTTAGGCTGGTATTCATAGTCCGTTCTTATTTCAAAATCGTCTTAAATAATGTCTTAAGATGCTTATATGGCCCTCTGATTGGTTCATGACATCTTAAGACTGTACTTAAGACAGTCTTGAATATAAGAATTGACTATGAATACCGCCTTTAATGTATTAGTAATTGAACTATTTATCCTAATTGCAATTTTAAAAAGATTGTAATACTATATCAGTAAGACTATATCAGTAATTTATATTTCAAGTCACTAAGAAATAACAATTCTTCTGATTTATTCTGCTTAGAAAGAAAACCTATATTAATTTAGAGTGACAGTTTTGCAATTGAAATTTATTAATACATAAATAAAAGTTACAATTCTAATAGAATACATTTAGAATATTAATAAAATATATTTAATATCAATTTTTAAAAATAGCAAAAAAATTTATCTAAAAAATATTTTATAAAGGTTACTCCAATAAGTTTAATAATCGGAAAATCTGCAGTTAGATTTTTATCAAGAGTTTTTCAAACACTTTTTTAAATCAGTTACGATATCAAAATTATAATTTTTTAATAGTTAAAAGAAGGGCTATGAGCCAGTTATAACATAAAGAATATTTAATAAACTTTCATACATACATACATTCGACACCAATCGGGTCATTCATTTTCAATGTAAAACAACAAACTATCTTACATAAATTATCGGAAAATTCAGTCAAATTATAATGTCCAGTAAAAATTCGGTTGTATTCGTAATATGCCGTCCATATGTAAAAATATCAAAGGAGATCTCATCTCACTTTTCACAATTCTACAATCTTACAAATAAATAATAAATTAACATTGCGTTATAGTTTAAATTATCAATGTACATTTTATAGTAAATTAAATTAAAATACAAACACATTTATATATTTAATAAAAAGTAAGCCATAATACAATGTATTATGATTTACTTTTCATTAAATATAACTTTGTTAATTGTGTTTTCCTCTCGGCGTCTAACTTACATCATTAAGACAATTTAAGGTATATATTTTTTATTTAATTTGTATTTTAATTCAATTTACTATAAAATGTACATTGATAATTTAAACTATAACGCAATGTTAACTTATTATTTATTTGTAAGATTGTAGAATTGTGAAAAGTGAGATGAGATCTCCTTTGATATTTTTACACATGGACCGCATATTACGAATACAACCGAACTTTTTACTGGACATTATAATTTCACTGAATTTTCCGATGATTTATGTAAGATTGTTTGTTGTTTTACATTGAAAATGACCCGATCGGTGTCGAAACGTTTGTATGTATGTATGAAAGTTTATTAAATATTCTTTATGTTATAACTGGCTCGTAGCCCTTCTTTTAATTTATTGATTTATTCTCTATTAATTTATTCTGATTGAGCCATATTGATAATTATAATTTTTTAAATTCATAGAATTAAGTTAGAACTCACCGTTTGACAAATAAACCTTCGCGGCGATTTATATAGTAGATTAAATAGTAAATCAATTAAAGAAAAATATCCACTTGTATAGGAAGACCGAGCTCAATTCACTGATATTTTACAAATTCTTTCTCACCCTCGCGGTACCCTCGCTGGTATCGTCTGAATATACCGGCGAACGTTTCAGTAGTTCGGATCAGCCGCTGCGCCGCCGACAGGAGTATATATACCTACGAAAGCACCCTCCGATACATCCCCTCGACTATAAACCACAACCAATCCCGAGATCTAACCCCACCAGTCATCCTATCCCTTTGCTAACAGAAAATATCACTGACAAGAATCAAGATAGAAAACTACACTGCAAATCCGAGTACGTTATTTTAACACATTTTTCCTGTTTAATTTTGAGGAAACACGCTTATTTGTGTTATTTTAAAACATGTAACCGCGTGTAATATGTTAATTTTACACGCATTATATGTGTCATAATGTGTACACGTTTCTAAGACGTGTAACATAATAAAAAACACTTCGTTGTTTAAAATGGATTATAAGTTTTAAACGTATTACAAGAAAACGTTTATTCTCAATTTACACGTTTGAATAGCTTACACGTTTCATTTATTACATATTATTTAATTTACACGGGTGCGCAGCATTCTCGATTATTCTATCATAGATGTGTTAAGACCAAAGTGAGCACGTGTCGCACGTAATGTGTTGCTGTTTTCAAGTGAAGTTTTACAAGTGACGTTTTACATTTATGTGATTTGTGTTTCATACATTTTATTATTAACAATGGAAAATAAAAAATATATTGCCTAATTGGTGAACGCTGTAAACATATTACATTTTCGTCTTGAGAACATATTTCTGATGTTCAACTTGTACATGATCGTTTAATAGAAGTCAATAATAATGATAGCTTATTACAATCGATGAACAATAAGATAATTGTATTGCAAAAAGTTGATTCTGGTTGAAATAAATTCTGCGAGATTAAAGAAGATGAGGAAATTCACGATAAGAAGTTAAAGTGTCTTCTGTTTGAAAAATCTAATCTCGTGGTGAAACGTGTCTTGGGACCAACGTGTGCTAGTGATTTTGTTCAAAAGAAAAAACAGATTGATGAAACTGTAAATCTCACAGATATTAAAGTAATATACCTATATAATGAACTTATTGTCAACACGTGTTCGTTTGATATAACATGTTTAAAATGCGCTTATTAAGACGAATTTTAAGAATTTTAAACGCATTATATCAAATAAACACATTTAACAATATCAATTTGGTACACATTAAAATGCGTTGTAGTAAAACGTTTTAAGTGCGTTGTAATATAAAACGGCGAGAAATGTGTTAAAAGTGGCTTCAATCAAATAACATATGTGTTTTAAAATAACACACTATGGATTTGCAATGATGATAAAGGATTATACCCAAGCAGATAAATCATGTCAAAATGACATTAAAATGAATCGGAAATGATTGAAAAATGACTTGTAATGATCATTTTGGAATCATTTTAACATCATTTTGATATCATAATGACTTATTGTTGTTCTGTTTCGGTATGGAATAGAAAGAATAGAACGATACATGAAAAATAATATTAAACGGCAGCACTAATGATTATACAAAGTTACGCGATAAATTATAAAATTACTGTTTCAGGCTTTCTTTTTGTACAAAGAATATCAAGAATATATTTAACATAATTTATTAACTTATTCCATTAATACTAATTTCTCTGCATTACTTCTTATTTTAATAAAATATAATATTATTAATAGTAAAATATAATATTATTTAATTAGCTCATTCTTCTTAATAAAACATCGAGGTCATTTTATTTCGATTAAACAAACGTAACGTGGCGAATACTCACCGTGTGACGGTTCTACAGGTAAAGACTTACCTGATGCAGGTAAATCACAGAGAAATGTATGTATATGCCATAAGGTGGACATGTGCTTATTTATGAAATTATTTTGTCTTATGCTATTTCGAAAAATTAACAGAAAATTGTTACATAATATTCTATTTTCACATATTAAATATCCAAATATATTGGCTAATGGCAAAAATAAAAAAAATTGTTTAAATATACATTATATTAGTAAATTTATGTGGTACAAGTAATCAAAATTTGACATAACGTAAAATATATTTGATTCTTGTAAAATAATGAGAGATCTAATTACATTCCGATAAAATAGCTAGATTGTATAACGTAATACTACAACAAAATTTTTTTTCAAAGTTTTTTCAAAGTTTTACAACAAATTTGTTTATATACTCAGATAAATGTCAGCATATTGTTACATATAGTACTGAAAAATGACTGTAAGATGCATCTTCATATGATATTGTCAACATGTGAAATTATAACGGAGCAAAATTACTATTTGTCTAATGACGAATAAGTCATTAGGAAAAGATTGAGACGACTGGACTTGGTCAAACAAAAAACATTTGATAAGAAAAATTCTCTTATGTCAATTATTGTGTTACATTGCGAATACGCGAAGGGCTATCATTAACCAGGATCCCTTTTTTATATGAAATAGTAATCATAGGAAAACACTGCAGTCTTTTAATAAAAATGATGAATCGGAGGAGCAATCGGGAAGAAAAAGTAAAAGAAAAATAAAAAGAAAAAATGTAAGAACTAACGTAAAGGAGACATCATTGACAAAGTACGAGCCATCATCCGTTGTCGACCTGCGAACGATGACAACGAGGTCGTAGTGGGGAAGTCGAGAGAAGCAACCAAGGGTGAGGGAACAACACACGAGCAGGAGAGGAAGCTAACTACAGTGACGATGCTTAAGTCTAGGTGGTTGTGGTGGTGATGGTAGTGGTGGTAATGCTGGAGGCAGAAGAGGGAACCTCCGCAACAGGTTGATGGAAAAGGGGCCGAGAAGAAGGAGGAGCAGGTCGGGACGTTTCGCTCACGAGAGAGACGAAGAAGAACGCGGGAGAGAACGGTCATTGCCACCACCTTACCTCGAGAATTGCCCGAACGCTAGAGTCCCCGTCGGCACGATAAGCGCCGGCCCCGACACGGTCTACCGTCCGCGGCTGTCCCGCAGTTTAGCTTGCCGTCGTTTGTACCTACTCGGCTTTACCTCTTACCTGTGTGGGGGCTAACTTCTCTCTCTCACGAGGACGCGAACGAGCGCGCGCGCTCGGTCGATGCGTGTCGTCGTGGCCTGCCAATTCTTCGTGCAGGGGGAGCGAGCCCACAAGCGAACACCAGGATCGGTTGATCCAGAAGTCGCGAACCGAGCAAAACCAGTTCGATAGGTGCCAGCCGTGGCGAGCAGGTCGAGCCGGCGGCTGTGACTCTGAGAGGTATCTTCCTCCCATCCACGAATTCCTGTCGCGAATCTGACTGTCGCACGCGACGTATGATATCTCGTGTTTGCCGAGCGGATGTCCCGAGATCGGTTGAAGGGCGTTCTCCAAAGCCCGTGAAGGTCACAAGGTCACAGATGAAACGGGGAGGCGCCGGGCGTGGGAGATACCACTCGATAGGCTTCGACCACGTGGCCGCAGCTGTTCACCGGGGATTTGCGATCGAGGGTGCGAGATCTGAGTCTGACTGACGTCAGGTGATCCAGGTGATCTCGTGGAGAACGTGCCGAGAACTTAATTCGACCATCGCATCATCGAGAGGAGATAATGTATCGCCGTACAGTTTGACAACTTGAAGGAGTTTTGCAGCAACGTTAAAAGCAGAAGCAGAAACAACAGCAGCGATCTGTCGAGCGGTGTCAGTCAAGGTATGCTTACGACTCTGTCTCAAGGTCCCGAGATATGAAGAAGCGTCATACTTTCTTGCGCGAGTGACCTTCGTTAAGACAACGGTCGATGGTCGATGATATCGTTTTTTATAAGAGGGCAATGCACCTTCAGAAATAATTCACAATAATTAAATGATTTAATCGTGCGATTGGTGATTCCTGTACTGCCATAGGATTCCTAGTCACGGGGGGTACTGAACTTAGTCGAACAGATGATTTCCTCTGCGGTCTCTTGTCCTTGATCCTCCAAGTCGGCATCGGCGCGATTAATGCTTTTTATAGTTTCTGCGGCCGGATGGATGATTGGTCGATATATTGATAGATCAATGACATTAAATTCTTCCCGAACAAAGAATCATCTTTATGACATTTTTACGACATTTCATAATATTTAATAAACTCTAGCTAAAAAAGTTATTGATATTATTAATTTTTTCGAAGTAGAAACACGACTCCGAATCGATTAATAAACTTATAGATGGAACGAATGACAACGGATAGTTGTTAAATATATGTAACAATATTTACGGACAGATCTAATAGTTTATTTTTTTATTTAGATATTTACTTTTGTATTTATTCTAACAAGATTATAAAAAATCAAAGTTTCAATGATTGAAGACAGATAGGTTGATTTCATAAATAATATCTCCTTTAAAATATAAGATCAAATAAAAGAAAGACGGAAGTAGAGAGATGCGAAAACCACACTTGGTTAAGCTTAAGCCAAGCAAAACATATGAACAACAGACTACGGTGGCTGCACATACCAATATTATCCGCTTGATGAACAAGGTTTATTGCGAATAATCAATCCAAGGGTTTATGTATGTATACGGTTGCGGCATGTATCGACGAGCGGGACATATTGCAAATCCGTTGTCGAAGTTAGCCGCATGTTCCTTAGAATAGCGGTATATTAGCTCATTTCAACTGAATTTCATTCGTACGTGGTCAGGCGAGCGTATGTGTAAACTAATGTCCCGATTTTACGCAGCTTCATGCATAATTCATGAGAGTTTACCCTGAGAAAATTCTAGTATTCCTCGAATCTGTTTATTTCGAGATAGTCATTAAATGCTTCTTTAAAACGATATAAATTAACGCTAATATATAACATGCGTTATTGTTTGTCTCGAAATATTTGTAACAAATATATTAACCCTCCAGAGCTGATGCTAAAATCTATAACATGTACAGAAAAATTTCTGGTTGAAAATTAACGAACCATCAGTTAATTTCGATCATGTTTAAGTCAGAATTTATCATGACAGAATATCTAGTTATTTCTGCTAGGGTTAGATTCTGAAACTTCCTCTCCGAGAAAAATACTCGATGTAATATAATATACATTACGTGTACTATTTATTTCGAGTAAAATTTTCTTCGAAGAGGACGTTTTTAAATGTAGCCTAAAATTATAACAGATTTAATTCACTAGGAATTGTGATTTGTCCATTTTCCACTACAGTTTCAATTAATGCAAACAGACTCTTTTTCTAGTGCAGTTATTGACGCTGCGTCTGCAAGACTCATTTAATTTAAATGTTTAACTGTGTCAGTTAAAGGGAACTAAATAACTTCAAGGAATCAAAATGACACAAAATACTAAGTATATTTTAATAAAAATAATTCAAGTTTTCAGTAAATTTTCATGTAAGAAAAATGAATTATTTGTCATTTTTGACAAAGAGATTTATAATTGAGTTGATTCAATAAACCCACCGTCAATGTGGTTCAAAGAGTTAAAAACCAATACGCGAAGCGGGGTTTAGAGATTGAATAGAAAAGTAACAGGTTTTTAAATCGATCCCTTGTGAAATCTCGATTAATATAACGAGCTTATGAGCATATCAAATGATTTCGTAATGTTCTTGAATAATTTTCACGGATAGTAGCTGAAGAATACTGGCATCGTTTGAACTTTCTGGTTTTGCGCACACATCTGATTCGCCACATCTGATGTGCTCGCGTAACTATATTATATATCCATTAAAAAGAAATCATTTAATGCGGAGCACGGCTCGCAGCGCTTAGAATTAAGACTTACGGTTTTATTTGCGCGTATAGAGTGTATCTCGGCGCCAACCCACATGTGCGCATCGCATTAGATACGTGAGTACAAATGAAAGTGGCAGGTACCGTTACTGCGCGAGTGCTACGTTACGACAAAAGCTTTTTCTACTCGCGTATACGCCACGCACGTGCGTTCTAGTCGCTTTCGTCCGCCAATTAAGACACGCTATTGTCGGCGGATGTGCAATTTTTTGTCACGCGAAGGAGAGCATCAATTCCATAAATGTCTAAAAGAGTAATTAATACGCTAATACGAGAAAAGAATACTTAGATTCGTGTGGTAAAGTGCGTCTTAAAAACTAAGAATAGATAAAAGTAAGAATGAAAACCAAAAGAATAAGAATAATAATATTACTTTATAATATGTTATTAATATTGCTATAAAATTATAAAATTCATAAATTAATTGAATTTATTTTTAAAATAATCATCCGTTCATTCTATAAAACATGATTATATATATGTTGTGGCTTTCGAGTCACAAATTTGTGTATAAAGCACAATGGTATTCATGAATGATTTAACTTACAAGGAGAGAGTTTAACGCATTTAACAATCAAGCATATTCAACGAATCGATTGAAACTCGCCCAGCACTTTTTCGAATTACGTATGCCTCGTTCTAGTCAATTAGCACGGACGTCGTGTGCTCGGACTTTACAAGCGAAGAGAGAAGGCTTTTTACTATTTATAAAAAAGAGGTAATAATTAATTAATTAGTTAAAAGTTAAATAATCAAGTTAAAAAGTTAATACATTTTAATTTAACTTAATTATTACTTAGTTAATTTAAAATTAATTAAATTTAATCTCAACTAGTTATTTAGTGAAACAACATTAACTAATTAGAAAAATTAATAAGTTTTATTAAATAAAATATTAAATTATTAGTAAGTTTTACTAAATAAAACATTAAATTGACTTGTTCATCGACAAATGATTACCGCTCGCAATTACGTCATCGGCGAAGTATAACGTTACATCCAAATTCCTGCCTTTGAATAACTGTAACCCGATTCGTGTGAATTGCATGGTTATACGTTTATCGAATAATTATCATATCACCAGTGATTAAATAATTAATACCTTAAAATGACGGCTAAGAAAAAAAAGATGTAAAATCCTAGGAATTTAGAAATCGAAAACGAAAACTCGATTTCGTAATTCAGAAACGAATCAACTGAAGAATATTTTTCCTGATAAATTAAAAAAAAATTCTTTTTCCCCTGCTTCTTCATTATTATCGATGTTACACTCACCGAATGTAAAGTGGACCTTTTTTATAAAGCAGTCGTTGACCGAGCCGAGGCGTCGTCTTTCGTCAAACCAAATTATGTAAAATACGATTACTGGCTCATGTAACTTTAAAATTATTAAACATCGTGCAGTTCACAATAAGTTTTATATGTTCCGCCAAATTTCTTTTTCTCTACTAGGATTTTCAACAAACAAATCTCGCACGGAGAGAATTTTTTGTTAAAGTTTACCCTGAAAATATGGTAGTCTTAGGACAACATCCCGAGAAATTTTATCAGGCATGCCTGAGTAAGGAAGTAATAAAATATGTCCTAGTCAGAAATTTCTCATTTGGGTCTTATGTCTTATTAGGAAACAATAGGATATGTCTTAGTCGGAAATTTCTTACTTGAGCCTAATCAGGCCATGATAAGGAAGTAATAGGTTATACTCTAGTCAGGAATTTGGGTCTTATGTCTTATCAGGAAGCGGTAAAATGTGTCCTATATATGACAGATTTCTTAACCTATAAAATCATTAGCTTTAAGTTAACTTGCATAAAAATATACTACTAGTGCAATAAGTAAATTCGAATAGTATAATAGTGGTGGAGAAAATTTCATTAAAACTACACTGAAATTTTATTGTGAAAATAAGTATTATTGATTAGCATCATATTTCAGAGGATACAGAGCGCCAGGGCAAGCTTGTCAGATCCATATCAACGCCTGATCAAAATTTCTGCTCGGGATGTATTTTGAAGAATTTTTTATGTAAATTTCTCTCATTCATTAACAAAACTACAATAAAATATATAATAAGTTTGATTAATTTTACTGAAGTGCATGATAAAAATTTTGTAAATATTGTATTGTACCACAACTATCATATTTTCAAGGTAAATTTTAAGAGACAATTCTATCCGTGTGTCTAAAAAGGATAAAAAGTAAATTACATTATGCTCTATGAAACAATATTATCTGTGTCTGTAATTTAGTTTTCGATCAGTTTTCAAAAAATCAGATGATGGACATATATGTACCTAATCACATTTCAAATGTGTTACACGGATAAACAAAAACATGAGAGAGAGAGAGAGAGAGAAAGAGAGAGAGAGAGAGAGAGAGAGAGACCTGAATTATTGATCCAGAATACAATTTCATGCACGATGAGCAATTGGTTCTGCCTTATCATTTATTCGTTAACAGTTTTTATAACTTTGGAGATAACAGAATGTGAATATGCCGTTACAAAGAAAATCGTGTTTAATCATCAAATAATTACAATTAATAATATATAATGTTCGTGTTTAGTTCTGCATCATAGAAGCATATTATACTTGGCTTGGTGCCTACGATATGCAGTCGAACCATTTGTGTTACCATTTGTTAGTACTTTTGTCGTGAAAGATAAATGAGTTATATCATTTTGACATTGAGGGCATTAATCCGTACTAAAATTATCGCCGTAATTATAAGAGATGTAAATGACACGACGGTCGAAAGTGGCTCGACTAAGCAGCATCCGGTCGAACTGAAACGAGCCGTCTACGAATCACGCTGTTAAGAATGAACGTTAAAGCGTAGACACGAGTATACTGATGTCTTGCTATAATTAAATGCTATTACATCATGTAATTACATCCAGACGAAGAGTCTTCTTCACTCCGTCTGTTCTTCGTGCGAACCTTCCCAGATTAATCGTCACGCCGCGAATGTCACAGTCGACATTGTTTAAATTAATTACCAGTAAACGGATCTGCTTTGTAAGTTTTGGAATGAATTATTAATTACGAGAAAGATTAAGATCAGATCATTCAGATAAGAAATTAGAATCTTGAAGAATTTTGTTTTTCTTGCTATTTCACAAAAGAGTAATAATCGAGAAAAAGAACAAAGGAAATACAAATAGCGATAATAATTTGGCGATTGCATTGCAACTACCCGTATAAATTACAGTATGTATAAAAAGTATACAGGAAATTTTTGTAAAAAATCCTTATTTATTAAAAAATAAACATTAATTAACAATTTACTAATTATAAATACAATAGACAGTATATTTCTTAAAATTATTATAAAAAAATATATATATACAATCCAAATATTCTAACATGAAGAATTATATTATTTTATTGTATTCGTATTTCTTTTAATTTGAATAATACATAATTTAACATTTTGTAATGTAACCATTGGAACTAATTGTAATTGTAATTATAATTAGTATATTCTATTCGTTATTAATAAATTGCTAATTAATGTTTACTCTCCCTCTAAAAATAAGATTTCTTTAAAATGTTTTTTTTCTGCACGAATACTTTTTACACTCACTGTATATATTTGCGGAATCACTCTGCGCTTCGAGATACATACACACACACACACACACATATATATATACTTACTCTTATTTTGTATACGCATAAGAAAGCAGGCAAGCCATACATGAGATATACGGTTTGGTTAAAGCAAAAATCTTCACCGAAGTCTATGATCTTACTAAAACGTTTCTTCGATGATATTTTGTTTATTTCGAGAAAAATAACGAAACTATTTTGAGAAAGGTAATGGGAGGGTCATGAGAGAGAAAACCCCGCGCAACACTGATTTAGAGAAATGAGGGAAAACAGAGTTGTCGCAGGGAATCGTCAGGCCGAAACGTAATAAATTTCTCAACATATAATTTAAAATTTTTTACTTATTTTTTTACTTTTTATTTTATTATACAAAATTATATTTCATAAGTATTAATTCTCCTCATCCGCAACTTACGGAACAACGACCGAATCCCAAAATAAGAATCTCAGAAGAAAAAGATTAGCTTTTCTAGAAAGTAAATCTAATTTCTTTTTCTGTATTTCAGATGTGCGACCGGCGGAAACAGGCCTGGTCCATCGTTATCATCGGCAATATATTGATCTATACTATTGTTATCGCCAGCCCGATCTACGTTCCTCAATTTCAACCGGGAAGTAAGTACTTTAGTTCGCTCTATTATTCGCTGGAAGAATATCAATAGCTTTCTTCTAGATAGCATCAATCGCAATTTGGAGAGTTTCTCTGCAGTAATACACGGTGTTTAATGAACGTAATTCAATTAAATTGCCGTTACGTCGTCTTACGGAAATTGCGTGGTGCCTTCGGTATATCGACCTTCGATTATAATAAGTAGCTTTAATTAGACATAATCGCGAACGTAACAGAATTAACCGATAAAAATTCACTGCGTTCTTTCAAAATTATGCCTCTTATGATAATTATTCATTGCATACGATATTAAGACACTGCTTAAATTTACTGATCTATTAATATCTTTGAGCCGCATCATATTTTTGAACGAAAATCTCAAACAACGTAAACATTGCAAACAGTAGTATTTACCGATTTAAATTCGAAAAAAATATTTCTTGTTTAGGAATTCTTTATAATAATTCTTTATAATAAAAGGAAATTATTTTCTATCAACATTTCTCCCAGTTTTTCTAGAATCAGCAAAATATGCATATTTATCAATTAAAACGACGAGTTAGTTGTGAAGAATGTTGATTCTTACAGACTGACAACATATCTTTGCTCGTCTTGCTCTTTCACGCTGTTGCATTTTCCTCGTATGTCAGCTGAGTAACGGATCGGTACACAAATACCAGTAACCGGCACAGCGATGTCCGATCTACGCGTGTGCGTAAGCGCTCGCCCCGTCTCCGTCGTGCAGCGGCATTGAACCTACCTTGAATTCACGTTCGAACGGAACGTGGGCGGACTGGTCAGTTTTCTGTAGAAGTGGGTCAACCACGGTCATCGAGCCGCGTGACTTACAGTGATTTTTCCGTTCCCATCGTCCCCCGATTCCGTCGATTTTCGTGTGATCGTTTCCATTCGGCGACAGAAATCCACGAGATGATTATCCGCGAATCATCATCATTCATACACGGAAAGAAGAATTTCGTTGAAATATCTAAAAATTTAACTAGATACAAATCTGATTTTGTTGGATCATCAAAATAATTATCGTAGAACGCTCTCAAACTTGATTGATAAAATATCAAAACTTTTTACAGGGTTTTTCATATTGAACATCCTGCATGGTAATCCGAAGACATTTTCAGATCACATAATATATGTACCTAAAATTTTAAATACTTCAACAAAACTGTTCTTTCCGTACTTTATTGTGTCTAATTAAAATGCTCATGCACATGCAATACGACATTTAACCTCTTCTTATATAAACCCAATTTTACGATGTTATTTCTACAGCTATAACAATCGTTGTATGACAATACGACGATATGGGTCTTCTTCCTTGAGATCACGCGAGACTTCCGTATCCAAGTGACGTTTGCCACGATCAGATAAAGTACTTTCCTACAATGAACTATGCCGCGAGTGAAATTCTTCGCGTGGGCGTACACTTACGCACGCACGCACACACGCTTACGCACTCCCGTATGATCTGGCACCGCTTGAAATTCCGCCAGCTACATAAAGGCGTCGTCAACTTTCTTTCATGCTGATGACTAACTAACGTGTCACTTCCGCCAGCACACATTTTCTACGCGGAAGGGTGACCGGGCGTTCAGAACTTTTTGGGCGAGCGAGCCTGACCAACTGACCCGGTAGCGCAAGCACTGGGACCGCAAACAATTTTACGGGTGATTTTCACTAGCCACGAAACGTCCGTCGACCCGACATGACGGCAAAAGAAAGTAAACTGTAGCTGAAAAACTATGACGCTTTAACGACCCGTTTGTGCCAGTTTAGAGTACACAAACTACAACAGTCCGTCTGTTGTATGTCAGTAATTCCTGCTACTACTGATTATTTGACACATTAGGCAATTTGCCTATTAAGATAAAAGGCAAATCTCAATTGGACGTTTAATTTCATGGTAGACATCCAATTTCTATTTTATATATTATAAAATCTCTCTGTCTCTTTCCTTTATACTCTCGTCTAAACTTGGCGTAGCGTTAACTCAACAACGTAAAGTCTCGCGTTCACCACGCTAAGTAATCTGTCACTTTCTTTGGCACGGTGTGCACACAGAGTATACCGGGAATAACGTTCATGGGTTTTCCATGTTTATATTGAGAACGCGCCATCCAAGCATCTCGGGTCAAATATGATCATCAAGTTTAATCATACCAAGTCGGAGCACCCTGGAATGTTTACGGCGATTTCGTTAGGCCAAAGACCTCAGAGAGGAAGAGAAAGAAAGAAAGAAAAAGAAAAGTTAGTGGCAGAGAGAGAGAGAGAGAGAGAGAGAGAGAGATGAGAGAGAGAGAGAGAGAGAGAGATTGTGAGGTGTCTTAGAGGGAAACGAGCTGTTACATTAGGCTATGACTGTGACCCACATTTGGGTCGGGCAACTAGCCCATACATTGAAACTTAACGGTACCGAGATGCTTCGCCTCGCCTGACATCAATTCGTTCGTTCCCCGATATAATGCGGCATACGCCGTATACGCATTAGTATTTTACAATCGATCGTTGATTTAAAATCATGAAAGAATTCAAATTGAAGGTCGTTCCCAGCGAGATTTATGATCCCATTAAAATTTTTAATAGTCAAAGATGACGTTTGTTGCACGAGAGTTGCGCGCTATGACATCTTCTTACTCTGATCTTTGCTCGGATCACGTCGACGAACTGCACATTTTATTTCCTATACTTTAAAAAACTGATTAATTTGATTAATTTAAATTGCCACTACATTGCGCGTTGTGCCTGTTTTTTTTATGTATTCTCTATAGTCTTGATGCAATATTATTCGTCTATATCCGAAAGTTCACGTGTTATTTCGGAGCGAAGAGCATATTTCTTTATCTCTTCCTTTGGCGCGTGTCTTTCGTGGATAACTGTATCGCACGACCGTATGAATCATTGTCAAAGCAGACTTCTGTCATTCCGTTATACGCCTCTGATATTCGTGACTTTTTAAAAATTTTACATGACATCTGTTTGTTTATCCACTTTCCGTTGTGTCGACACATAATGCGCTAAAGACCCAGAAAAGATTCCTGTTATCCGATTAATGCGTAAATGTGATCTTCAATTTTTTACCGGTAGCAACAACTGTTTTAAGATCCAATACAGATGATATCTGTAGACTTGTAACAAGTTTGATAAATTTGATACATAAAAATAAAATAATATTGTCAACAAGCTAATAATTTCCGTATTAATAAAATATCACAGTTATCATTTTAAGCCCAAGACACAATGCGAGGAAATTAGTGTGTCCGGTGAATACACCTAATATTCGAATAAATAAATAAAAAATGATTGAAAATATTCATTCGAAAACATCTTTTTTATTCGTCAAGAAACGAGAATAAATACTTTTTCATTTCATTTGAATGAATATTTTTTGAATATGATTACGAATATTTTCGTTTCGTATTCACTTTTACTCTGTATTATCTGCACATAGTCTACAAGAGAAAACAGAAATCTATAAAAACAATACGGCTACAATTACACCGTGCTCTTAATCCGCGACCTATACGATACATTACTGTGATGTAACCGGAATTATATCGGAATATGTATGGCTCTATCAAATAAATATTTATAAATAAAAAATGTATTGCTTTCTAAAATATTTTTCAAAATTTCTAAGTTTCCTTTATAAAATCTGAATACTTCAATGACAAAAATAAATAAAATTCATTTTTTTTTATTTAAAGTCATCAAAGTGCCGGTTATAGTTAAGGGATAAGGGATAACGATTGCTTATTCCAGCTCTCTTTTTCAGTTTATATTTTGTTTGAATGAATATGAATACTAGTTAAATATTCATAGTTTTTTTATGTGAATAAATATTTTTTGAAAATCCAAAATTTTAATTTAAAATAAGATTTCATTTTTTTTATGTGAAAATTTTGAATAAATACAATTTGGAGCTCAATTACAAATTTTTGTATTCGGGCACACTAGAGGGAATAACTATAGCGATAGGAATAACACGATTTCAACCTATCAGAAACTGTGTATTTCGATATATCCGATTTCTGATAGGTTGAAATCATGTTATTTCTATCGCTATTCCCTCGCATTGTGTCTCTCTTTACATATCCGCTTAATATAGACGTTTGCAGAGCTATTCGTCATATTTTCAATATATGAATCAGTTTCGCAATTATCTCGCGTCTCCTATCATCCGCGGTGAGGATCGCAGTTGACTAGTCAAGATCATTAAGAGAGAATTATAAGCAGATACGTTGACGATACGAGAGCAAAATGTTACGGACAGGAATGTAGAACGTACATCGTGAATGAACAGTTATAGACGCCGGGTGAAGGTTGATATATACTTCTCAGAGGAGATCAGAGAACACGGAAGCGTTTATCTAACCACCGTTGACGGCCATTCGGGGAGAATTCCATCTCGAGGCATCACTTCGTAATATTTTATTTTATAGGAGTTTTTCTCCCTGTAAAGAAGTCTTTACTTTCGCATTAATGTGTGAGATAATCTTTCGAACGGAAGAATCCTGATCTATCGCCTGAGAGAATCACGTATGAGATATCGCGGCGGCAAGTTCCGGCGAATTATCTTTATAAAGCATTAGATGAGAGGAAAGAGTACTGTGTAAAAAGATATTAATACGATTCCGAGCACGCAAGCCAAGAATTGGCATTTTAGAAACAGCATATAAATAATATTTATAATCCTTCAGTGCCACTCTCGATTATACCCGGCTTTTTTCAAAAAATGGTTTTTTTAAACTATTATTTACTTTATTTGTTTATAACTTTTATTACTAATAAAGATACATATATATATTTTATCGATATCGTTGCATTTTTTAATGACTGGCGGTTATAGATTGAAAAAAATTTGTTACAGCCAAACATTAATCAAACATTAATTAAAAATAATAACATCAATGTGTTACAATTTCAACAATGTAAATGCAATATAATACATGTATTACATAATAGTTACATACTTGAGGGTAAAATTTCAAATTATAAACAATGATAATAAACAATAAAATTGATATTATGTTATGTTTAGTTGGTGTTTATTTTAAATGTTTATTTTTGCAAATTATAGGTAAGCAAGCAAAGTTGGGTTAGGTATGTAATGCACAGTGTGTTGTATCTATGATAAAACGGCATATAATGTAGCATCGAAGGGTTAAAATAACTCGTTTAAGAAAAAAAAACCGTTTAATGGAGTTGGTCGGAAATCGACTTGTCATAGATAAATGTAAAATGATAGAATTCCTTCGTTCTTACAGGCACGGGAAGAAATATCAGACACTTGCCCTGCGTGTCACGCAGGAGCGGTGAGACCGGTGTGTGCATGTTTGCGTTTACCTGCGCGAAAGCAAATGGCACGCATCTTGGTACCTGCATCGATCGTTTCTACTTCGGTAGCTGCTGCAAGATTGACGACGAGCCGGACATCTTCCCGCAAGACAACAGCATCGATGATGGCCTGCTGGCGCCAAGGCCATTTGTCACGACTCACAGGCCTATCGGGAGCAGCGGCATACCGGAGTATTTCACGAAGCCCAAGCCGACCGATGAAAAGAAACCAATCGAGGCTTCACAAATCCCGGCAAGTAGATGATTGCTAATGAAGCAGCGAGCCAGCTACCACGTTTCGCCATGTGTCAGTAGAAATGAGCGGTATGACAGCTGGAGTTCCTAGAGACTATTCGATGGAATTGAAGTAACGTCCTTCGCGAATAACTATACCCTGTCAAATCATCCACAGCGAACTTAATATTCGATAAAACAAACGTGGGTTAATAATAAATAATTCGCTTGTTTGTTTATTTAAGTTAATATGTAATTACTGTATAACTCTATCTTATTTCGTAAATTTTAGTTTTAAGAAAAGAAATAAGTTTTTAGACGACAGTAAATAATGGTAAAAAGTGGTAGTTTGGAATTACAATACGCGAAAAGAAATGAAACATGTTTTCTCAGCTCATTCAGATATGTAATAACTTTCTCTGAATGAGGTCATTGAGATAAATACAATAGCTCGTGTGATCTCACAATTGATATGATTCATGCAGGATTAAAGAAAGAAAGTTTTTCATTAAATAAGTTAATGATGAGCATGTAATATGTGTAACTTTTAAACACGCAGGAACTTTGTAATTTTGTTTGATATATATTGGTGTGTATAATAACCATTGGCATATTAAATAAATTCGCTGAATAAAAATTTTCGTTTTATTAACAAGATGTATAAGCTTCTTAATGATTCTTAATGATAATCTTCATTAAAGATACATTGTATTAATATTTAAAATATATGCCACACGCTGCATCATGATACACAAAGTTTTCAATTGTAAACAGAATAATTTTTTAAATTAATTAAAGATAAATTAATTCTGTTAGTCAGTCAATGTTGCTCTTAGAAGATTAATTTACCTAAAATATTATTGCCATTTACATTAATAATTAATTTAATAATTTAATAATTTTGTAGACAACATCTGGATTCTTGAATACGCAAAGCACGCAGACTTCAGCAAATACGATGAGAGACACGACGAAGTTCGTGACAAAGAAACCAACGATCACAACGATAGAAATGACTACGCAGACTACTCGCCTCTCGACATTCCAAACCGTGCAAAATGCTGCCGGACCCAGCACGGAAGCCACGTTGAAGGAAACCAACAATACTATAAATATTCCAACAAATATATCGCCAAGTATAACGAGACAACCTACGAAACCCACCATTTTAGACTCTACTCTCCGACCTAGCACCCTAAATTTAACGAAACTGACGACTATCACATCGGAAACGATCACGAAGAAACCTGTTGTCTCCACGACAGTGCAAAAACCAACGGTGCAGAACTCTCAAAAACCACTCTCTTCTACTACTCGACCGAGTGTTCAACACGAATCGACCACGAATACGATAAAGAACGTTCTCACAATTACCACGCAGAAAGTGATGCCTTCGACCAGATTCCCACCAAGAAATACGACGTCGGTTAAACCACTGACTCAGACGACTATCAGAAAGCCTAGCACCAAAAGACCTAGTACCACCGTAACAACAAAACGGCCAGTGGTGACTACAAAGAAACCCACTACGTTGACAAAGAGACCTTCAACTCCAACAAAGCCTCTCACGAATTCCAGCTTCGGTACCACTTTACCGGCGACAACTAAGCCTCATTCAACCTCTGGCTCATTCAGCAATGGATCTTCCAGTACAAGCGTAAATCGAGCAACGGAAAGTACTTTAGCCTCCACAGGAATTAGACCATCGACTGCAACGACAGCAACTACCAATACAATTCAAAAAATCACCATTGCGTCTACGAATTCGGATCATAAAGGATCTACCAAAACGACAACGCCGAAGACGACCTTAAAAACGACAACAAAACTATCGACGATCAGAACAACCACCGCTAGACCATCGACAACGGCTAAAACAACAATCAACACACCGGCCACGACTAAACCATCATCGTCAACTACAACGAAGCTGAAACCCACTAAGACCACTAGTACGACGACGAAGACTACTAGACCTGAATACACTAGCACCACGACGATCACGGAGGGAACGAAGCCATTATCGTCAACTGTCGGTTCAACAGTTAGCGTTACGAGACCAAGACCCAGCACGACGAAACCAACACCCTTGACGAAGCTTCCCGTGAACACGTCCAGTATCGTGGAGGTTACCACAAGCATCTCGAGTTTGATATCAACGTTTACCGTTAGAAACGAGAGCACCTCGACCCACGTACCTCCTACCAAGGGTCAGAATGTTAATCACACCCTCGAGGAGATCCCGTTGACTACTTACTCGCCAGGATTAGTAACGTGGAGTTCCAACTCTGATGAAGTTTTTACAAAGGCGCCCAACAAAACGATTTCGTCAACATCAACATCAATGTCAATGTCAACACCAACGTCAACGTCAACGTCAACGCCAATGTCAACGCCAATGTCATCGCCAACGCCAACGCCAACGCCAACGCCAATGTCAATCTCAACGTTAACGTCAACATCAACGGTAGCTACATCGTCAGGTGAATAAAGTTAATTACTTTCTAGTTTTCTTTTTATCAGAATATAATAACTTTATCAATTACAATTGATAAAGTTACAATAATCAATAGCTTATTTCAACTATTATATTTAACTGTAATATTAATCGTAACGTATTAATTATTTTCGACATTGATTCTCATCACGTTGAAACCAGAAAAATTTTTAATTTTTAATGATTAATATAGTCAATCTAAAACAAAAGGCAAAAGCAAAAGCACATTAAATTTACATAGTAATCCGTTAACGGGATTTCGCTATTCCCAGTTTTGATGCATACAGCGTGCCATGCCATACAACGTGAATCGCTATCATGATTTTCTACTGACGACAAGGGCGTCGCATTACACAATGAACGATCGTTTTCTTTGATTTCACCGATTAGCATAGAATGAATAAGATTTCTAATCACGTTTCCTATAATTCCTCGAAGGGTCGCTCGATGCGACGAAGGAAGCATAAATAAGATTTGTGACTACACTGAAAAAAAAATTTGCAGATTTCAAATAAATATTTATTCCAATAGTACTAACGAAATATTTACTCTAAATGTAAACATATATTTATTCGATTTAAACATTATGCCCATTGCCAAGTATAAAGAAACATTAATACTCTACCAAAATTTGTTATCGAGTAAAAAGAATTAAATATAAACTGAAATAATCTTACTTTTCGTATATATATATTCGTACTCTGCCTTTTTCAATATTTATGTTTTTTTGTGTTCAATTTTAATATCATGCTATTCAAAAGGATATTGTCCATTGTTTCCAAAGTATACAATCCAAAAGTTTGGAAACATTATTAAAAAATTGACATTTTTTAGGATTACTCAAATGTCCATAATAATGTCTTTTTTTAACAATAATTCTTCAGATAAAATATTCAATCCGAAGAATTATTTAAAAAATAAACTATTATTATTTATTTAAAAAACACATAAGAGATATTATATCTCTTTAAGCAATATAATTGCATCTCAATGCATGCAGCGCGAAAGTGAGTTATGTTGAGTTATATAAGTAGGTAGGTAATCCATCTCGTATTTTATGTTCATTTGACAAGCGGTTACTTTATTCGACTTAAACGAACCGAGTTCATTGTGGACGCAAGCCAAGGTCATTCCCCGGACCTTAGAAAAGATAATCGAGTAGAGAGATGTTATGTGGACCATGTCAATAGCGCAGCACTCTGACACGTCGTCGGGATAGAATGTCATAATGTCGTAACGGTTCACAAACCGACCATCCCGGACTTTCCGCCGACGCAATTACGGTCATCTCTCCCTTGTGTATCTCTATCCATTTCGTTGAGCGGCAAGACTTCGAATTATCTTCTAATAACTATGATTCACTTCGCTACCTTGCAAGAGAAAAAACAGAACTCGCTCTTCTCACAACCAAATTGGAGAATTAAACCGGTTCGCATCGTATTCAATTAGCATAGTATATCTGTTTGAAACTAACATTTTCTGAGAAACACAGGTCCATGAACTTGAAGAAAACATTCTTCTGATTTTTTTCACATACATCGCAAAAGTATCCTACTGGATATGTGTACTGGATGAGCTTTTATCTAATTTTAAAGTTAATTTATTTTAACATAAACGTGCACTGTCGGTTTTATTTAATGTATGACTTTGTCTAGTAGTTTTTTTAATGCTTTTTCTCATACTTTGCTCTACGTCTTAATATTATTAATTTTTGTTATCATAAATCATGTTTTTTGTCATTGCAATTAAATATATTCGATTTGCACACTTATCGAAACGTCATGCTTTTACTTAGTTACTACGATTAATAAATAATTTGTAAATATTACACACTGATATCCGAGTTGGTTCATATCTGCTTTTCTTTTTTATTTAATTTTGATTTAATTTATTTTTTCAACAAATTGTAGCTATTACGATAAGTTATCTATCCCTGATTCCCTTAAAAGAAAAGAATCGTAACTTCTAGTAAATTTGCGATTAATTAAAATACGATTAGGTTTTATATTTATTATGTTTGTTCGTTTCGCAGAACAAGCGGAAACTGATTGGTCGCCGATAACAACTCCGGATGGCTGGATAATGATCCAGTCGCCTACCACCCAAAAGTTACCGGAGACTCAAGAGTCGTCGACCGAACCGGTTACGGAATCCCCTATCCAGTCTTTGACTTCTTGTAAGACATATTAATTGTAGCCTTTGTGAGCACTCTGCGGTTTGCGAATTTGCTCGCGAACTTTCAAGAATTGGCAAACGCAATCATGCAAATGAGCAACTGGAGCAACAACTTGGAAGGAATATCTTCCAACAAGTCTAAATAACAAGAAAGAACTAGAAGTTCTTCAGTAAATTTTAGTATTGCAACAACACTATATTTCAGAATTTCCTTCTGTTGAAAATTCTTGCAACAACACATTCAATTGTATATAAATACAATGCAATTCAATTTTGTATAAATTTTATATAAAAAATCGTATCGCTTTTTATTTTGTGCGAAATGTAATGAATGCTTGATTAATTAATCTTATATTATACTTCTCGGATTTCCAGCCAAACCGATAACAGAGAGCAGTATCATCCCCGACATCATGAAGAGACCAACGGTGACAACTTTATTGTCAACGATTGCCAGTGTTACAATCGTCACGGAACTTCCGGTATCAATGCAGACCCTCAATATGTCGGACTACAAACAAGGTCAATACTTAAATGTTGAACGGATTACGGTGTAATACTACGACGTGCGCTTCACGTGAGCGAGCGGGTGCATGAATAAAAGAAATTAGACCGTTCCCAGACTGGGTGACTGGAACGAATCGTTACTCGACTAGAACTAGTCTTAGAACTAAAAACAAAATGACGGGTGAAATGCGGAACTGGATTTAGATCACTGTCGGAATTCACGTTATTCCGTTCGATTTTGTCCCAGTTAAATCCTGAAGATGATCCAACTTCTGATCGTATAACGATGCTTTCATCTTCTCTTTGCGGATTACGTCAAGTTTAATATTAATTAAACTTCTCGTCTTTGACAAGGCAGACGTCTCTATTAATTCTAACAAATACTCGCACATGCACATTTTACATGTAAAATACAATTCTAATTGTAAGTATAGAAAATATGTCCTCATCAAGAATTTTCTGTCTTTCTTGATCATTGTTTTGATATGTCGCAATTTTCAGATTTCTTAAACTTACACGAAAAGACCAATTTTGTGCAGTGTCTAAAAATTTAGCTAAATACATATTTGAAAATAGCTTTGTTAGATCATAAAAATAATTATGCAGAAAATTCAAGTATCATAAGCAATGCTGCAAAAAATTTTGATATTTATAGCAACTAGCTTGAGCGTCTTACATCATTATTTTAATCCAAATTATTTTCAGATCTGTATCTAATTAAATTTTTAGATACTTTAACAAAACCGTTCTTTCCTTCTAAGCTTTCGAAATTTTTTTTTATTGTTATATACATCAACTAAATTAGTTTTTAATACTATCACATAATGTTTACTGTAGTTTATTTAAGCAGTTAAAATCGCATTGTGTCCTATTACTTACAGTATAGGAAACATTTTAATTCATAAATTATCGATGACTTGATCACTTTGTATGCCATTATATAAGTTACCATCATCTAAGTTGAAATAACAGAACTTAATTTAAATAATGATAGTACAGTCGTAAATTTTAACGTCAGTAATTTCTCGTAATCAATGATAATGTGCGCCGAGTGTCGCAAGTACGCAGACAATATTGTCGATAGAAAAATTCTAATTCGCCTACGGGCAGACAAAAGAATTATGTGAGCGACGCATCCGCGCAACGGTACCGGTTCATACAGTCGAACAAACGCAGCGCGTCCGTTCTCCAACATGACCGTCCAATTGGGACTGATGCGATTTAACTCGACATTGTTTGTTCTTGCAGTGTGCGGACGAAGAATGTTTCCGGAGCCCAAGATCGTCGGCGGAGAGCGAAGTTCCTTCGGAAAATGGCCTTGGCAGGTGAGCTTGAGGAAGCTCACATACAAAACAATTAGAATCAGTTACTTTACACACTTAAAATTAATAAATATATATTTATTTATAAATTTTTCGGAGTGGAATCGCACTCTAAAGAGTGAAAATTGAATCAATTTTGAAAAAGAGTGTCTCAATTTTCAATCTTTAAGAGTGAGATTTCACTCTTCAGAGTTAGTTAGTTTTAGAGAGCAGATATATCGTAATTGCGTAACATTGGCTGTTATGGTGTTATTTATAAACTTTACTTAAACATTAATGCATTAATGTAAATCACAAATTTGATGATTAATTGAAGATAATTAAGTATTAAGTGCGTAATTTCCAAAAATCTATTAAGAAAGAAATACAATAAAATTTGACCTTTCTGATATCATTAGAAATTAAAATTCGATCCCTCGTCTGTCGAACGATGACAATCGTCATAATAGATTACACTAAATATTATGCAGAAAGAAAAATGTATAATCGTGATAATAACACACACATTTTCCCATGTTAACAACAGTCATTTTATTACGTACTAAAGATAATGCGTAGATGGATCAACGCATTACGCGACCTACGATTGATTTTCTCACGTGGCAAATTTCCTTGCAGATCTCATTACGTCAATGGCGATCGCAGACGTATCTACACAAATGCGGCGCGGCATTGTTGAACGAGAACTGGGCTATTACCGCGGCGCACTGCGTCGAAAGGTAAGTGTTTGCCATGGCTACGATATAATCAAGTTGTCTCCCACTCGCACGATCATCTCATCATGCTATCCACGGTGTTCTTTAACGTTACACCGTGAAGTCTCTTCGCGACAACATGTACTCGCTTATGATTTCTTCGCGCGATGAAAAGAGATTGTCTTTGCTTGTATAAACATTTTCTCATTTAATATATTTGAGAAGCGTGACCAGGATTTTATGTATTATCGTCTTAAAGTAGAACATCATAAGAAACTCCACGTTCCTTTCAAAGAATCAAGAAGAGAATCAGAATTCCGTAATTTTTTTTCTAGATTTTACTATTCACGACGTCTCTTTTTTTAGAATTTTTTTTCTTCACATTGTCATCGCGTTTCAATCTCTTTTTTAGAATTCTTTTTATTTTTTCAACGCTGAACTTAATTTCTTTTCATATAGCATGACATTATTATTTAAGATGCAACGGAAAATTGCAAACAGCGTTTTGTTTCCGGATGGAATTTTCCGGTAAGTAAATGCATTGATATATATTTTGCAGCGTACCGCCTAGCGAGTTATTATTAAGGATCGGCGAGCACGATTTGGCGAATGAAGATGAGCCATATGGATATCAGGAAAGAAGAGTGCAAATTGTGGCGAGCCATCCACAATTTGATGCGCGTACTTTCGAGTATGATCTTGCTCTGTTGCGATTCTATGAGCCTCTTCTGCCATTCCAACCAAACGTTTTGCCGATCTGTCTGCCCGACGACGATGAAACCTACGTTGGTCGTACCGCCTACGTTACCGGCTGGGGCAGACTTTACGACGGTATTAAAATGCATCATCATAATTAATAAGTGAATCAACAATACAACTTGGAATTTATATCTTCGTATTAATTACTCCGTCTGCAATCATATTTTTATTCCCTATGTCTGCAATCTTTTTTTACTATTCTCGACCTTCAAAATATAAAGATAAATTCAGGATTGCCTTTTAACATTTCTATTATATTAACAATTAGAATTGAAAAAGGCTCCAAAGATTAAATCAATAAAGGAAAGAATAATAATTCCAACGAGAGCCGACACAGTTGTATAATCTAAATATTATATATATATATATATATATATATAAATCATCAATTACAGATGTTTCGACGAAAAGATTAGATTCAATGTATAAGTCAACAATATCGGAATCAAATTAAAACGTTGTAAAAAGATACAATCACTGAATCATCGTTAGGCTGTTGTCCAAAATTAAAAAGATTATTGTCGTCTGTTGCATTTAGCTGGATACCCAACAGGAATTCCATAATTTAACTGAAATTGAGTTAACATGTGAAAATTTTTTAAATACTTTGCATAATCAATGAGTTAAAATTAATTAAATTAGTTAAATAAAACTTACATTGTATTCAACATAACGATGATCCGTTATAACGCGCGCGCGCGATATGTGATTATAACTATGTCTTGAAAACATGTGAGAGGATTCGCAGTGTTTATAAGTACAGTAGGCGTCATTGATGCCTTCCGGATTGAAATTTATAGTTTCCTCCGATCGTACACATACCTGTACACTGTTAAAAAAAAAGAAATTTGCTTCCATCACATGTAACGGAAAAAAGTAAATTTCTTTTTTTTTTTTTAACAATGTATATAGATATGATGTACGATCGAAGGAAATTATAAATTTCAAGCCGGAAGGCATCAATGACGCCTACTGTACAAATGTTAAAATAGAATAAATATCAACAAAATAGAATAAAAATCGATAATGCAATTTTATAACTTATAAAACAAGGAAACATTATTTTCTCTTAACTAATTAAATCATGATATAACGGATCCAACAATTCCGTATCATTTTGCAAATTAAGTCTATTTTTTTGCTTTTTGATATGGATCGCTTCAGAAATTAATCTTTTATTAAATCCTTCTTCGTCTAAGATTTTTATATTGTTCCAATCGAAATCGTGATTGTGCTCAATTCTATGCTCTGTAATTATTGAGTGTTGTGTAGTATTCCTATTTATGTGATTCCAATGTTCATTAATGCGTGCTTTTAATAACCGTTTCGTTTGGCACATAAGATGCATCACAATTTTGACAATTTATTTTGTAGACCACATTAGAATGTAATAGTGAAGGTAATTTATCCTTTTGTATTCTTATAAAGGGACTTAGTTTATTAAGTCCTATGTAGACTAAACGCACTGTTCTATTATTTTTAAAAAATCTTTTGAATTTTTCGATATTGAAGGTATGTAGGGAACAGTAAAAAAACGTAATTAAATTGTTAGGAGTATTCTTTCCGTGTGTATTATTGTTGAGTTGTCCGAACTTAGTATGCAACCTTTTTTTAATGCTTTCAAAAATTAGACTTAAAGAATAGCCATTAGTAAGTAAGATGTTAATAATGAAACGAAAGTTTTTCTCATGGAAGGATGGATATGATAATAATAATGTCTATCAATCCCATAATTATCCCTAATTGTGCCTAATTTGTGGTATCTCGGGTGACACGAGAAGTAGTTTAGGTATCGTGCCGAAAACGAGGGTTTGTGATATCAGTCGTATACCAAATAATTATCCTTCCTTATTAAGGTTACATCTAAAAAGTTCAAACGATCACCGCCTAGTTCCTATTATATTACTAAATAATTTTGTAACAAGATATTTTAAGAGGAGGAATCAGACTCCGCTCTCATTTATTTCGGAGAAATTTCAGAGTAAAATTTTGCTTGTGTCAAGAAAGACCGAAATTGCAAACGGAGTGTTAATATTTGATACGTGTTAATTAGTAGGAAAAACTATCGATCGTTTTAGATGAAATATTTTCATTAAACTACAAGGTAAATTATTGTCACTCAACACGCAGATGCCCAAAAATATAATTATCTATTTTTGCAGAGGGACCATTGCCATCCGTGTTACAGGAGGTTGCAGTACCCGTTATTAATAATACCGTATGTGAAGCGATGTACAAAAACGCGGGTTACATCGAGCACATTCCACACATATTTATCTGCGCTGGTTGGAGGAACGGCGGATTCGACTCCTGCGAGGTCAGTTTTTGCTGGCGATTTTACACAAATGAAAAAAATCGTCGTTCGTGCCATTTCAAGTTTTCCGAGATTGAAAATAGCAACTAAAAAGTATTATCCGCATAATTTACATCTTTCGATAATATAGTACATTATTCTAACAATCATATATGATTGTGTCATAATAAAAATGTTTTAAAAAATCTTCAGAAAATTAAAATATCTTGTAGATAACTTACAGATACTTTCGAACATTATAGTTGCTTAGAAATGAATTATTATTGATATAAAAATTTGTAGCAATAATATTCTGTAATATTATTGCTACAAGTTTTTATTTCAATAATAATAAGTTTTTAGGTAACTATTCCTACATTTCCTTACAACAATTTAATACGTACGAAAGTAGTTATTAATTACTTCTTTTGAGTATTAAAAGAACTGTTGTTCAGTAATTTTTAGTATTAAATTGGTTTTCTGTAAGAATTCAAAAGGCAAAAGTTATGTATAAGAATTATCTGAAAGTTATTGATAAGACGTTACAAGCTTCTAAAGATAATTTTAAATATTTTTATTATACTATAAACACTATTACTTAACACAATAATATATAAGAATTATCTATATTATGAAAAGATATATATCTTTTATGCCCGTTTCTATCAATGTAGATTAATTTCCACCAATTAATAAATTAACTAATCTCGGTTCAACTTACTCTTTGTCTTTTTCTAATCTTTAGAACTAGAAAGAGACGAAGAATAAGTTGAACCGAGATTAAAGTTAACCTATTAATTGGTGGAAGTGGGCATTAATATTCTAACCTTCTACCTTTTTAGGGTGACAGCGGCGGTCCGATGGTCATCCAAAGAGCGCGAGACAAGCGATGGATCCTTGCTGGAATCATCAGCTGGGGAATCGGTTGCGCCGCGCCTAATCAACCTGGTGTTTACACGCGTATCTCGGAATTTCGCGACTGGATCAATCAGATCCTGCAGTTCTGAACGTCTCGGAAAGAGCATGATCCGCGCTCGAAATTCGCGCTTTTGCATCGCGTCGACTTCTACGAACGTTTGTAACGATCACCAAGCGGACGAATGGCGCCATCTGCTGGAGCTGTGAGCCAAGTACAATTTAGTGGAAAAATCTAAGGATCTCAGCGCGGGGATTCACAGAAATTTGTGCGCGTGTTGCGAACTCGAACGATATGTGGAACCACTGATTCAATTTTCCTGTGTGAAGCCGTAATGTATGCATGTACATACACTCAATTTCTCGGGAAAATCCGACATGTTACAACGATACAAAGGGTATTGATTTGCGTATCGGAGACACTGTGGATACCAGTGATAAGCACATCAGACTTTGTGACAAGGATCGAAATTTTCGATCAATTTAGATACCTTTATCTAGAATCGATTTAAAATAGTTAATTCCAGGACATGGAATTACTTTCTTAAAGTAAATTATTCTCATAGATATATCTATAGATGCGGTTC